TACTCTTTATCTTCTTTCTTTTTATATTCTTTATTCTACTTTTATTCTTTCTTCATTCTTCTTCTTATTTTCTTTTTATTTCTTTTATATCTTCATCTCTCTTCTTTTTTCTATTATTTGCTTTTTTTTCGTTGCCACTGTTCCCAATAATAATAATATGTTCCATTTTATTTATGTGTTTGCCAATTAATTATTTTGTTTCTTCTAAACCCATGGAATAAGTATGATTATTAAAATTATATTTTTAGTTTTGTATTTTGTTTTAGATTAAATAATCGTTTTATATCATATTTTAAATATTTTACTTCAAGATATAATTCTTATATTTGAAATATTCATTGTTATTCTTGTACATTTGTATTTTATTATGAAATAAAAACAATATTCTTTCTCTCATTCAGTTTTATAACTTAACATGATAAATACATGCTTTATTTCATTCTTAATATCATTCAAGTTATAACTCCAATCCTCTTAATTATGATTAATTATAAAATCATTTTCTATTCTTATTTTCAGTAACTGTTCACAACAATAAAATTTATTTTACATTAAAATATATTCTTCACATATCTTTATTTCGGTATTGTAAATATTTTCAACGACTACAATATATTCAAGTATGACATTCATGTTTAGTATAAAATTATTATTTTATACTAATTTGTCTTTATGATTATTCATGATTATAACTATTATATTCAATATTGTTGAACAACACTAACAGCTAAATAAACAAAATCAAAAACATAAGTTCTTTGGTTCATAATATTAATGTTTAAATAAATAATATGAACAATAACATAAAGTTATATGTTAAAGAAGAAAATAATATTTTGAATACCAATATTTGAATTTGTAAAAATATTACATCTTGTACATTATCAATAATAACTCCTATATTAATATATTATTAAAAATTATTAATTTTTTTGAAAAATATAACGTCATTATAGAGTTTTTATAGTTATTCACCAATTAATTGTTAATAATATTTTAACTTTTCCTAAAATACACTTCTTGACTTTATATTGTATATTATGAACTTTGTTTGGTTATATTGTCATTATATTCCTATATTGAAGTATCATGACATCATACAGTATCATTTAATTTATCTACTATAATTCAAAAACTTATTTAAACCTTCTTTTTTTCTTTTACATCAATTTTATTCACTACTTACACTTCCTATTACTTCTTGTTAATTTCTTCATTCTCTCATCGATTCAGCTTGTATTTTATTTGATTATTCTATCATTTCTCCTGACATTTAATACTTAGTTTGTAAATACATTCTAATTACTCCTTAACATATTTATCTTAAATTTGGTTCTGACTCTTAGCTCATTTATTATAATACATGTCATGCCTTTAACTAATTTCTTCAATAAAATAAAGACTATATTGTTAAATAATAAGAAGATAATACAAAAAGGAAAGAAACTAAAATAAATACCTCCTTTTCAAAACTTCTTTTTTTTCAAAGATTTAGCATTTTTACAAAAAAAATATTTCCATAATACATTTAAAAAAAAATACTTATTAATTTGATGTATTAAACACAAAAAAATTGAATAGTTTTTAGTTGAACATAATGTTAAAAATTTTTAAGAAAAAACTAACTTACAATTAGCAAATGAGAGATACATTAAACATTATTTGTATGATAACAATATCCACTTTTATGATGATAATTAGTGATGAACCAATTTCAGCACACTTTCAACCATCTTATCAGATGTTGGTATTTCTTATTGGGATATTACTCATTATATGTAAGATGTTTCTTTCCATTCTTCCAGCAACAGCCTCTTCTGATTGGGCTGCTGTTTTTTACAAGATGAGACCTGTATGGGACATTGTTTTTTTATCTTTCAACGTAGAACATCACCCAACAGAATGTTTGTTGGTGTTGGTTGTTATTTTTGCTATTAAATTGTTTGATGGTATAATCTATGTAAAAACACGAAGTGCAGTAAAAAATGAATTAGACAAAAGAGAAATTACACGTCTAATTGGTTCAATTATTGTTATCTTGTGGATTATTATAAATATGTTGTGTTTAAATGAATTTATAATTCCAGCTATGTTGTGGTATGAATGTGTGTGTTCTTGCTGTAGCATTTTATTGTCAATCATATTACTATTACAACAATGCTTGTTTGGAACGGGTGAATATGACTTACTTCTAATTATAACTCTCCGAGATTTACTATATCTAATCATTAAGAGTTTCACCATGTTAAAAGCTTCTATTTACCTCACCATTCACATAAACATATTTCTTGTTCGTTCTGTTACTAGTTTTTGTCTTTGCTTGAAAGATACATTTACATTGTTAAGACAATTCCCAACAATGATTACTCTAATTCGTATCAAAGAAGTGCATCTAAACCAGCCAGAGTTATGTGTAATATGCCAAAGTGTAACTGAAACAGGTGTTATTTTACAGTGCCATCATGTATTTCATAAAAACTGCATTTTAAATTGGAACGTCCAATCTAAATTTTGTCCTGTGTGTCACCAAACAATGTCTTTGACATCACAAACAAATGATAATGACATTTCTCTTGAATGGAATGTAAGAGAGTTATAATGTTTAATTGACTTTTTTTGTTTGTCCAGAAACGTGGTAGTAATATTACTTAAATCTTATTTTGTACAAGTATATTCAATCAACCTATTTCTTATAACTCCTTCCCTTTTTTCAAACCAAAAGTATAACTTAGTTATTACTATTGAGACTGAACATTTATAACCATAAATAATTTATAACTTTTGCTACGAAACAATTAATTAGATAAACAATGAATAATTGGTTATTCATTATTCACTTTAAAGCTTTTGCTAATAAATCTGATTTGTCATTATTTAGATATGAATAATTTATAAACAAACGTTAAAAGTGACTGTTAAATAAAATAAACAGAGTCAAAATAAAAAAGTTACTTACTATAAAATTAATAATATAATATAACTAATTAAATAATATCTTTAAAATTTAATTTAAAAAAAAAATATTAAATGTTGAATTAGTGTTTTTAAATTTTAAATGTCTTATAAATATGTCAATATTACTAATTGATTTGATTATAACTAATTCAAATATTTAGTGACACTAAATTTATTTTTTAAAACTTATTAAAAAATGTAGTTAAGAAACAACCACTTAATTTCCAAAGACAGATTCTCTGTAAAC